TTCTTCAAATAAATGGGACTGTGTTTTCTTCCTCCGTCATACTTCCTCTCCTGTAATAAAGAGACCAAGGCCAGGCAGCAAAGGCTCCCTCTGATAAACATAATGATACACGTGTGGGGCCGGCGTGATGCTGTCGCGGCCCGACCAAGTTCCTCCCTTTACAAAGACCAAAACCGAAACGCCGAACCGGAAAACCAAGAGCCTAGAATCGCCAACTGGAACGAAACGGTGGTGACTGGGGAATCAGGTCCTACCTGTCGTCAGCAGCCGGCGTGCCCTCGGCCTCTTCGGTGTCGTAGTTGGTCATCTCGACGTCCTCGTCCTGGGCTGGGGCTGGAGTCGGGGCGGGAGACTTGGAAGCCGCCTTCTCGGCCTCGGCCGCCGCCGTAGCCTCGCCTTCCTTGTCGTCCTTGTCACCCTTGTCGTCCTTTTCATCCTTGTCATCCTCATCGTCCTTGTCCTTGGGTGCCTCGGGAAGGCTCTCGCTCTTCTCGGCGGCCTCGTCCTTGGTCTCAGCTTCGGGTTCGGCCGAAACGGCCGTTTTGTCGGCGGCGGCTGTCTCCGCTGCCTTGGTGGCATCGTACTTGGCCTTGTCCTTCTGGTATTGGGCCAAGGCGTCGTCGTAGCGGCTCTGGAAGGCTTCCTGGCGTCGTCGGAGAGATCCTTCCAACCACGGGCGAGCTCCTCCTCGATCGTGTGAGTGGCGTCCTCGTCAGGCTTGTCCTCACGCGTCTTCTGCAGAGCGGGGCGCGATTCTTCGCAGTACATGTCAAACGCACTGGCGGGGCGCTTGGGCGGCTTGGAAACCCCGTTGGTCGTGGCGGGAGCGGCAGCGGCGGCCGAGTCGGCGTTGCCTTGTGCGTGGGAGAAGGCCTCGGAGCTCGGGGACTGGGTGGCGGGATGTTGGTTGACCAAGGGCGAAGCGGCGGCGGACTTGGTGGCGGCGGCGTCAATGTCAGCGAGCAGGGAGGGCTTGCGGTGGCCGCGCTTGGTGCGCAGGGGCTTCTCCTTCGGCTGGGAGGGCGTCAGCAAGATTCTGGCAGTTTGTCTCCGGCCATGGCCTGTCGGGGTGTCGGGGTTGAGATTGTCGGGGAAGTAAAGGTCGTCGCCTACAGTGGGTGGTGGACTGGGGCTGCCGTCGGAGTCCTCGACGTTGGTGCTGGTGCGGCGGGTGAGTTGCTCGAGGAGCATGGCGCGTTCGAGGCGCATCTTCTCGACCTGTCGCCTGATGCGGGCGAGACGGACGCGCGTGGCATCATTCTCGTCTTCAACCTCGCTCGTGCGCTGCTTGAGCTGGATGCATTTCCGGCGATAGGCCTCCTCGACAGATGGAGGCAGCGCCGGGGGGATGGCTGTCGGGTCAATGACGGGGTGGTCAGCCTGGGGCTTCTCTTTGAGTTTGGGGATCTTCTTGGGCGGCATCGCGAGTTGGTCGTGTAGATGGGGATTGAGATGGAAAAGAAGATAGATGGTGGCGCCGAGCTTCTGTGGTGGGTAGATTGGCGAAACAAACGTTCAATCGCACGTTTGGACAGATGGAGGAACAGAATGGGGGATGGGAAGGGGATGATGGATGGGTAGGTAGGTAGGTAGGTATGGGATGTCGTGGTCTGGGTGTCTGGTTGTGGAGGTGGAACTCACAGTAGGAAGATTGCGGAGCCATCGTGGCAGTCAGGACAAACCAGACCAGACCTGGAGAGGACTTGCTGCAGAGAGCTATGGTGTAAGACACGAAATGGCAGGACGCACTCCAGACAAGGCAATGAAAAAGAACAATTGTTACAATTCATATAAAATGCATAGATGGTGTAGCAGATGGGCGGTCCATGTCAATAAGCAGAAGCTTGGAACTCTCTATCAACAGAGCGGTCAGAGGCTGAAAACCTCCCGGGCCAGTGCAGGTACGTCCCGGTCGCGAATCCCTTCAATGCAGACCAACTGTCGATGGCGCGAGGGAAGGGCAGATGCAAGTCTGTAGCGCTGTAGCGCTGCAGGCCCCCCCTGTCGAGACGCTCCAGTGAGATGCTTCAGAACTTACTGGGCGACACAGCTCGGAACGGATCAACAGTGCCCAGGTACCGTCTCTGATTGGTCATCCCCCACCCCGTCGCGCTGCCACTTTGCGTCAGGCACCGGGCTTCCCACGCACCCAGACTTTTTTTTGAGTCGGTGGGCCAGGGACTAGAGCTCCTCGTCTGCCAGCGACGACTACATCCCACCAAAGAGGTCCCTCACCACCACCACTACCACTACCACCTCCCACCCCCATATACACCGACCAGACCACGACACATCCGGCCGGCAGTACCCATCATGTCGCTCAATATCCCCAACGCGCCCAACGCGAACCTGTTCAAGGGGGGTTATAACAAGTATTACCCCCTCCCCTCTCTTCCTCTGTCGCCTTCCTCGAGCTCCTTTCGGTAGCCCCTGTTGCAGCTCTTTCCCCCCCACCTCTGCAACATGATGGCAGACAGAAGCGCAATGTCAACACAATACTGACCCATCTTCCCATAGCTACGACTCCGAAGATGGCGCCGTCCTGCGCAACATCGACGCCTGCAGGGCCATCACGTCGACCGTCCAGACCTCTCTCGGCCCCTACGGCCGCAACAAGATTGTCATCAACCATCTTCAGAAGATGATCCTGACCTCCGACGCCGCCACCATCCTCCGCGAACTCGATGTCGTCCACCCCGCCGCCAAGCTGCTCGTCATGGCCAGTCAGCAGCAAGAGTCCGAGATGGGAGACGCCACCAACCTGGTCATCATCCTGGCTGGTGAGCTGCTGCGCAAGGCAGAGGACCTTCTGCGCATGGGTCTCAAGACGTCCGATATCGTGACCGGCTACGAGAAGGCGCAGAAGATGGCCCTCGACTCTCTCGAGGAGCTCTCCGTCGACAGGGTCGAGGACATCCGCGACCAAGACGAGCTTGCCAAGGCTATCCGCACCGTCGTCGCCAGCAAGCAGAACGGCCACGAGGATTTCCTTGGTGATCTTGTCGCCGAGGCTGTCCTGTCTGTTCTCCCCAAGAACCCTCTCGGCTTCAACGTCGACAACATCCGTGTCGTCAAGATCATGGGCGGCAGCCTCGAGCAGAGCCGTGTCGTCAAGGGCATGGTCTTCCCCAAGCAACCCGACGGCACCATCAAGAAGGTCAAGCGCGCCAAGGTCGGCGTCTTCTCCTGCCCCATCGACACCAGCCAGACCGAGACCAAGGGAACCGTTCTCCTGCACAACGCCAAGGAGATGATGGACTTCACCAAGGGCGAGGAGAACCAGCTCGAGGCCGCCATCAAGGAGCTCCACGACGTCGGCCTGCGTGTCGTCATTGCCGGCTCTACCGTCGGCGACCTGGCCCAGCACTACCTCAACAAGTACGGTATTCTCTTCATCAAGATTCTCAGCAAGTTTGAACTCCGCAGAATATGCCGCGTTGTCGGCGCTACCCCCCTGGCCCGCCTAGGTGCCCCCATGCCCGACGAGATGGGCTCCATCGACATTGTCGAGACGCTAGAGATTGGCGGTGACCGCGTCACCGTCTTCCGTCAGGAGAACGACGTCACGAGGACAGCGACCATTGTGCTGAGAGGCGCGACGCAAAACCACCTCGAGGACGTCGAGCGAGCTGTCGACGACGGTGTGAACGTTGTCAAGGCCATCACAAAAGACCCCAGGCTCGTGCCCGGAGCAGGTGCCACTGAGACACAGCTCGTCGAGAGGCTGACCGCCCTCGGCGAGAAGACTCCTGGTCTTGCCCAGTACGCCATCAAGAAGTACGGAGAGGCGTTCGAGGTTGTTCCCAGGACAATCGCCGAGAGCGCTGGTCTCGATGCCACCGAGGTTCTCAGCAGGCTCTACATGGCGCATCACAAGAAGGATGACTGGGCGATTGGCGTAGACATCGAGGTGAGTCGAGTAGACCGAAGTTGCCTGTCAAGACTCACAACTAACACGGCATAGAACGAGGACGGCTCCGGTACCCTGGATGCTCGTAAGGACGGTATCCTGGATCTCCTGGCCCCCAAGGCCTGGGCTATCAAGCTGGCTACCGAGGCCGCGCGGACCGTGCTGTCTGTCGACCAGATCATCGTGGCTCGGCAGGCTGGAGGCCCCAAGCCTCCCGCGCCCAACCCTGTATGTTTCCGAGCCCATTGCTGCCCCCATCTTGTCTGCAATGTACTAATCTGTGTTGCCGCAGAACTGGGACGAGGACTAAGCGGTTCGAAGGGTGGAGGTGGAGTTTTTGAGTCGGCCGAGAGGATCGCTACGTACATCAAAAGTCATGTCAAGATATCCCCTATAGATGGACCGGAACAGAACGCTCTGATGAATATATTTTGCTGGATCCCCCGTGAACGCGTGCCCACATTCTCACAGCTGTGATGGCCACCTTATGGTTACCAGCGGTTGAACTACGCAAATTCAAGGCCAAGAACAGAGTGGCCTTCAAAAGCCTAGTCGGAAATGTCCACCCTGCATGGATGCTCAGTCGAATGTGGGCTGTCTATTTTGATCCATGGATGAATTTCGCCCACGAGATGCCTGTTTGATGAGCTTGGGCTTGGACGTGTTCACAGATAGCTGCCTTCAGTGCATGGCACATGGACGCTATATTTTGATATTACTACCACGTTAGGTTTTCTTGGTCAAGAGGGTGCAACTTGTTCTGAAATATAGAGTTGACCTTATCTTGCGGTCTGTTGGTATATTCAATCTCGTCTCTAATCCTAGCTTTGACTTGTCTAAGCCAAGAGACATCGAAATGTCTGCACATAGACGCCGTGCTAGGTAATCCTGCCAGCAATCATCAGCAACACCTGACCGCTTGTATTTCAGCGAATGCTGAATGACAATGAAGTAAAGCTTAGGTGGCTTGGGAGGCAACCGGTATTGATGTCAACTACCTTCGCGGACCATACCTCCAATGACGACGAACCGCGGCGGACTACAAAACTCGCAGGCCAGATGATGGCCACAGCAAAGAAGATACCGGGGCCCAAGAAGAAGGCGAAGTCGAAATCACTGTCCGAAATGCCCCCGGCCCCGTACATATTCAACGCAGGGGATTCCGACCCTGATACTCCGATGGAAGCAATAGACCCCACGGCTCCGTTCACTGGAGATACCAATCGACGATGGGTGCTACTGGAGCTGCAAGTATACGGTTGCGGCGCGCAAGACAAGGTTGAAAGAGCAGTGCGCCGACTCCAAACCGGACAAGAAGTTTATGAGTGACTTCTCATTATTGAACCAAATCACGGACAAAGAACTGGGCACTAAATCCCTGGCGAGGTTTATAGCAGCCGAAACCTTCATCTACCCAATCGCCTGTGAGAAGCTCGATGTGTTCTGGACTCAATCTGGTGTAAACGAGCGCGCTGTTCGCCTGAAGTACTAGCAGACCCTGGTCCTGGAGGATCAGAAGGGAGACAAGCTCGTCCGAAAGATCGTAGGGGCTATTTGACCAAACCACAATCACGGAACGAGATTCTGGGCTGAGGCAGTCAGCTGTGTCCTTTCATGCCCTGTGACTGGTTATCCGCAGCTAGACAACAAATATCAAGTATCGAAGCTTCTTTTCTTCTCAGAGAGGTTGACCAAGAGAATTCGGACGTGCTTTCGTCTAGTTGTCTTCAGGGGTTGCCTTATACCCGCGTTGTGATCGTACGACACTGGCCACAACAGCAGACTCATCTCCTACACGAGGCGGACACTACTGTGCTTTGCACATGACTTAGTCGCCCAGTTTTGCATCGAGCTTCATTAATACACATCAACAGTACGATTTACTTCAAGTCTATATTCATAGGGCTGGACTATCCCCTTCCGTTACGCAACACATCGGACACTCTGATACATAAAGTTCTCTGGAGGGCATCGAAACATTGGTCAATGCAGAGACAAAAGATGCCCGAGAGATTATTGATATCGAAGGCAAGGGAACTCCCGCAGAATTTCTATTCAAATGGTTCAAGCTTGTCACTAGTCGCTGCGGTGTCCCAACTATGCATTTTGTCCGCAAAACAAAAGTCATCTACGAGCTGATCAGACTCTGAAGTGGTGGACCGCATGCCTCCAACGACCCCATACATGCTACCGCCACGCCTAAATGACGACTTGAACTCTCGGAAGCGGAAGCTTGTTCAATAAGGTTATGACCCCAAAAAACATCTCTCAACAAGAATCCTAGAACGACTCGGACAATGCCCGTCAGTCGGTTGACACAGGGCTGCATATCCGAATAGACGCTGGTGGAACTTCGTATGTGGCTGCCTGGTACTCAACACAGGCTAGCCGAGTCAAAGTCCAGAAAAGCTTGACTACCCTCATCGGAAGGAAAACCCGAGCTTCTACGCGAGGACAGGGATGAAGATCATGATCCGTCGCGCTGGTAAACCTTTTCCAATATCAGGGTATC